TTTAAGTTATACTTCTGGAGTTTGCTTCTGTATTGGCACCGGTTAGTGGATTACCACCCATCCATCATTATGATCATGCTATCCCACTGATTCCTAGTCCTCAACCTATCGACATAAGACCATATCGGTACACTCCGGATCTCAAAGATGAAATCAAAATTCAAGTTCATGACATGCTCACCAAGAAGTTTATCCAGTCCACCACCAGCCCATTCTCATCACCAATGCTTCTGGTCAAGAAGAAGGATGGTTTGTGGCGACCGTGTGTCGATTATAGACCCCTAAATTCCATCATTGTCCGCGACAAGTTCCATCTACCAATTTTGGATGAGCTAATGGATATGAAGTGTCATGAGCTAGTTGCTTTTCCTCTTGGACCTCAACTCCTGATTCCATCAAATTCGCCTCAAGACTGATGAAGAATTAAAAACTACTTTTTAAACACACTTTGGTCACTTCGAGTTCAAGGTCATGTCATTTGGCTTGTGTGGCACTCTAGGGACATTTTAGGGTGCTATGAACTCTACATTACTACCATTTCTTCACAAAGTGTGTTCTTGTATTTTCCGACGACATATTGTTTTATAGTCGCACCTATGATGACCTTGTTGGCCAATTGCATGCTGTTTTTCAGTTGTTGGCTCAGGATCAGTGGCAAGTCAGGCATAGCAACTTCACCTTCGCACAACACCAATTGTCCTACTTGGGACACATCATTAGTGAGGTAGGAGTTTCTATTGACCCTAATAAGATTCAGGCCATTACTTTTTGGCCCCAACCAACAAATTTCAAGGACCTCCATGGCTTCCTCAGACTTGCTAGCTATTACCGAAGATTCATCCACCAATTTGCAGTCTTAGCTAAATCGTTGACAGAGCTTCTTAATTAAGAATCACACTCTGTTCATTTGGACCAGCGTCTATTGGTAGGCTTGTGACTCTCTGAAGACAGCACTCAGTTCTGCCATAGTTCTGGCCATGTCTGACTTCACTAAGACTTTCTGTGTTGAAACTAATGCTTGTGATCATGAAATCTGCGCGTCCTATACGGCAGGGTCACCCCCTGGCATACATCATCAAGCCATTGGGTCCTAAGATGGCAGAACTCTCCACTTATAGAAACAAGTATTTGACCACAACCATTCTTTCTGGTTATCCCCATGATCCTGATACTCAAGCAATCTTGTCCAAGCTTGTTATGTCCCCAGATTTAGTGGCCAACTTCTCCCTGTCAGATGGCATCCTATGCTATAAGTCTTAGAATCTGGTTGGGAAACAACACTTCACTGTAGCAGTCCATCTTGGCAGCATTGCATGATGCACCCTGTTGGTGGTCATTTTGGATTCCTATTCACCTATTGCCATGTCAAGCAACTCTTTGCCTAGGAAGGGTTGAAAACGTCAAGCCAACAAACACCAAACTAAATGTGTGTTCGATGTGGCGGGGATTCTGTGTTCCTCAAGATATAACCTATGTGCATTTCTCTGTGGCTCCTAGTGCCAATCACAAGCTATCTTTCAAGTTCTTTGGACCTTTCTAGGTGCGCAAGAAAATGGGTCCAGTGGCTTACAAGCTTGATCTCTCGGCTTCATCAACTGTCCCCCGGGTGTTTCATGTCTCCAAGTTGAAACGTGTTGCTCCGTCATCAGCCTAGGTGTCACCATCTCCTCCTAATCCTAACAATTTAGTTTCCTAAACAAGTGCTAGCCCAGCACGTCATTCACGGCCTAGGGGATAATTGCGTCGGGGTGTGCGGGCGCACGCCAAAAAAGTAGCATTTGCCATATATAATAGGTTTTGTAGCTAAATAGAAGCTTAATACTTAGTTATTTACTTGCCGCTTACCCCATTGTATCCAGCTAGATGTAACCTGTTGTCGTAACATTTGTATATCATCTACAACTTGGTGCTATTGTCTCATTGATTGTGTTATCTCAATTTCTATCTAGAAAAAAAAAATGTGTACCGTGCAATGTGATGGATGTGAGTTGGTAAGTCATGTAGCTTATTGATCATTTTTGTTTTGCAAAAAATGTTTCTTTTTAATTCTGTAGGCATATATCATGCATGCTAGCTATTGACTAATCGCATCTTAGCATTATGGATGCACAGAACATAAACTTCCTATTTTTATACAGATTTACCCAAACGCAGGCGCTTGATATTTTGTTTACCTATCTGTTGACGCACCCACGCCTGCGCCCAGCCGGGCAGGAAGAAGACGGCGGCGAGGACGGAGACAGAGACCACGCCAGCGTTAGGGTTCCGACATCTCCCGCTCCCGTGCTCTCCCTCTCTTCTTCTCCATCTCTGGCGAGCATAGAAGGGGGTTTGGGGGAGGAAGGTCGTCCAGGAGGTGGGGATAGCGGCAAGGCGATTTAGGGGACCTAGCTACGGTGGAAGCGGTTGGGCTAGGTCGGAGGCAGGGGAGCTCCATGGCCGGAGCTCGCCACGGAAGAAGGAGGGGGGAGGGGAATAAAACGGCCGCCACGGGCGCGCTAGGGTTTCGCCGGAGCTCCGCGAACACCCCGACGAAACCCTAGCGCGCCACGGCAGGGCGGTGGGCAACGGCGGGAGCAAGGACGAGGAGGAGGGCGCGGTTGCCGGCGAGGCAAGTGGGAGTGGGGTGCAAGGACAAGGGCGATGAGGAGGCGCGAGGGCGAGGAGGTGGCAGGGGCGAGGAGGAGGAGGCGTGAGGAGGAAGGACACCCTTTTTTATAACTTTTCTTGATTTTTTTGGAAGTTTTGTGACATTCCGAGACAGTAGCTGGGGGATGGAAATTTCTATCCAAGGAAATAAAATGCCTCTAAAATCCCTCCAGGGCTTCCCTTTCCACTAGGTTTATTACCCACCACCACCACCACCATCCAAACTAGCCCTTTTGCTTTCACACTCTCCTCCCCTATCTTCCCCTTAGTTTTAATGGACATAAAGATACCCTAGCCCTTCCGCTAGATCTTCCACTAGCAGCATGGGAAGATCGATCTATTTGCATGTTCTACATGAGTATATTCTAGATACCTGTTACATAGATAATAATGCAAATTGTAGCACTGGTAAAGAGGAATTGAGGATCGATTTTGGCCAACAAATAAACCTAAAATGTACACTGAGAGGCCTCTCAATTTAGGCTTAAATTGAAACCCCATTAGAATTGAGAACAAATCATGTTGCTTCATTAGACTAACACACGATCCTGAAACATGTTAATCAGCCGTAAGGACCAAGGATATCATCAATTAGCCAATGTGTTTCACATCCAGGATCAATGTATTGCAGTCTGTCACAGACTGTACATCTTGGCAACAGAGAGCAATAATTTACAGTTTCAATTGGGACACAAGATGTAAATAGGCGTGAGCACGTGACAGATGTTTAAGTACAGTAACAAGATTTCATTTTGTTGATGTACAGTGCCATCTTATTTGTTACTTGAATTGCAGGTTATTCACAGAAAACACCGGGAGCCATGCTTGATCTGTTACAACACAAGCTTTATGCAAATGCGTGCAAAAGCTCAGCTAGATCTTCGTAGGGGTATGTAATGTGAAATACACAAGGCACTCTGAATAGGAAGCTAACTATATTCACAGCACAGACCAACAAATATTGGCATCCATAATCCTTTTGCCTCATCAAGCTATCAGTCTGATCTGCATTGAAATGAATCAAGATTCCTGTGGAGCTTCAAACCTTGATGGAGTATCAATTCCCATCATACACATGAGTCCTGATATCAAGATGATAAGAAGCACTATTCCCTGAACATAGTAGACAGGTGTGAGACAATATTCCTCGCAAAAAAAAAGGTGTGAGACAATATTGCAAGGATACAAGGTATATTGATTTGTGAAGTATCGTCTCACACATGAGCCTACATTTCATAATAGAGCTAACCACGAATGAAACAGAGTACAGGTAACAACTTACAACAAAAGTTCCTTCCAGAAGAGTTGATTTGACTAGGCACTCTCCATATTGTTCTTCTCTGCAAGATACCTGCCTAATGGCAGGTTGGAAGGGCTTTCCAGTAAACCAGATGGTTGAGAGGCATAAAGAATGGTATATTTAGCTCCAGACTTCTTCAGCATGGCAATCAGGTCAGAAAGCAACTCTCCTGCAGTGACATTAGTACGAAATTAACTTTCAGCTGTATAGTTGAAAGTGGAAGAACAATGTAAGAAGTCCTATCCCAACCTTCTGTTTTTGCAGGGTGTAAATCCTTGAAACCACCACTGCAGAAGACAATTAGATCGCTCTGTCCACTTGGGTTGTTTCTCATCCGTGGCGTCACTAAGTCCTTGAATCCTTGAATGTAAATGCTGTCAATATACGAAGTAGATATAGCATAGAAGAACTGAAAAATTATATAATAACTTACATGGATAGAATCCATGCCATGATGTTTATTCAGATCTTGACCAGTTACAGTGTACGTGTCTGTGTAGGAGATACGATTTCTTTCAAAGCCATTGTTACAATTCTCAGCAAAGCTGAACAGCAATGAATTTTCCAATTTCTCATTATCTGATGTGGAAACATAGGGGTATGCGATGGAAAACTCTGAGCTTTTGAAGGAGACCTGATGGGCATAACGATTATAAGCAATTAGAAATTCGATGCTTCAGTTAAACAATAACTGAGAAAAATAAGAGTGCCAACGGTTACCTTCAGTGTGTCTGCTAAAGCTGGATCAACTAGTGTATCTTTAGATATGTCTGACGAATGCTAAGGGGGAAAAACAAGTCAATGGTCAGTGAAAACGGAAGCCATGACTGTCTTAGTAATAACCTCACCATATATAGATTAAAGGGTGGAGAATTTGTTAGTTTTATAGCTTCGTGGAATCAACAGACAATATTTATCAGAAATATCGACTTTTGAATTTTTTGAATCTATGCACATGCACTGCTTCAATTCAAAAAAAATATTTAATTCAACTTTACTTGCACAAGGTAGTTTCAAGCCAGTAAAATATAGATAGGTATAAAATAAGTACCTTTGAGCCAAGAAAAACAATTGCAACATCAACATTCTTCTGAGCATCCTCCCCTGAACACTAATAATAAAATCACGACATCAGGATTCAGGGAACTGATTTAACATGCAACAGCTGATAATTTAGAAGAAGTTGCATGAGAGCTTAAATTTCACCTGTGGGGATAATTACCATCAAGTTTGACCAGCCACCTTCCTCAAGAATAGATTTAGCTAAACCCTTTAACAACACTGTCTGATAGTGGACCACTTCTTTAGTGTCATCAGAATGGAATCTGGATGATAAAGGTCAATGGAAGGTAAATTCTAGAGTAGTGAGCTAACATGTGCTTGCTATAATAATCATTTGAAGGTACAAGAAATATTTTAGATGAGCTAGCAAGTTTGGTTCAAGTAGAAGCTAAGTGAACTGATGAAACATCAAAGTTGAGCAAGGTAACATTGCTAGTAAGCAAGCAACTAACTCAAATCATTGAGAAAGGCTGATTATAGACATCACAGTATAAGAACAGTATTGCACCCATTGTATGCATTAGAAACTAGGCGTGCGTGACATGAACCTAGGCACTGTGTTGATGCAAAATTCTCTGATAAAAGAAACCCGGAACTGCTTAGATCACGACCGGAACTTCGATTTTTTTTGCGGAATTAAATAAAGATAATTTTTATATGAAAATTATAGACCTCGACGAGATCTATAACTTTCTAGTTTTGATTTTTTTATTTGAAGTCATTAAGATGCTTAAAAAAATTAATGACATATTTAGACTTAAGGGTATTTTCGACTTTTCACACCTGCAGTTTGACGGCGTTAGAGCCCAAACTGACGGCAGTGGCATGGAGGGCATAAAAAAGTTGGAGCAGCGACGCTGAATACCGCTGAACTTTTCCAGGGGCACACAGGGTATTACGATCTTTTTTAATAGCGCACAAGGAATTCCCCCGTAAAAAAATCGAAGTGGCCATAACACATGTATACACTTGTGATTAGATCAGATCCGAATACAAATAGCCAAAATAACTCAAGTTATGGTTCCGGTGCTCAATTTTGCACAGCAGCAAAGGAAGAGAAGGGGCGGGCATACCTGATGTGGTGGGTTCTCGTTGCAGGAAAAGGGCAGCTAGAGGTATGACGGCGGCGGTCGCCGTAGTTGTCGCTCACTCGCGCCCGCAGCTCATTCTCGCGGGCTGTTTGCAGCTTGCTTCTCCGCACGCTACTGGGCCGATTTCTCTTTTTTCCAGATGCACAAGCATAACTACGCTCGTTTATTAGAGGAAGGGAGCAAGCGGCCCATGAAACTGGCTCCTTCTTTCTCCGGTTCATTTTTCCTTTTGCTATGATTTTTTTTTCTCTTTTTTCTGTTTTAACTTTTGCTTCGAACTGTTTTAATTATCATAACTTGTCACTATCATTATATTTATATATTTTTTAGATCCACTGGAGAATATTTTTCCCTTTTCTATCACTAGCTTAGGGTAACTTTCGTTATTGGTATTTTTAAATCAGTGTTCTGGTTGGTTTTGATAATATTTTATTTCACATAAATCTCTTCTCTGTTAATATTAAAGAGCGAATCGTTTTGTCTAACTTGCTCTCTTTTTTCACTACCAGATAAATGCCCGTGTGTTGCACAGTGTCCAAAATTTTTTGAGTGAACCTTAGTATTTAGATGTGAACTTGTGAGCTATGAGAACTTTGTAATGGATGCGGACACATAGATTTTGTCTTTGTGTTAGAATTGGGCGGATGCGTGAGCTTTGAAGACTTCATATCGAACGCGGACACATAGATTTGGTCTTTGTATCAGAGCCGGGTAGAACATGAACGCGTGTCGGGTGAAGGATGAATAGTGATCTTTACATGATCACTTGAAATCGATTAATTCCATTTTATAGTGCAACACCTGTGTTCACCACATCTATCTAAGTCGAATTTGAGTGAATTGTTATCTGCATATGTTTACTTTAGTTAAACTTCCTATATCTTATTAAAACTATTTTATTTGATTTTTAGGAGATTGACTTTTTTGCATCGGGAGAGTTTATTGATATGTTTCGTCAGTGTCAGCAAAGATTACCTATGTATGAATATGTGCGTCCTCTGTTTGAATATGTGCCTGATTTGTTTCATCGGCCTGTAATCTGTTCTTTATATGATTTTGAATGTGGAAGAGTTTGTTTCGGAAACGGGTTTTTTTGTCGTATATGATTTTCGATGTGTAAGAGTTTGTTTTTAAAAAAAAATTGTCGTATATGCTTCTTTTTTGGAAATGTTTTTTTGCCATAACGATTTTTTGTCATATTTGTGTTTTTATTTTGGATCGGATTTGGGGCGATGGTTTTTTTGCCGTATATGTTTTTATTTTGGGTCAGAATTTTTTGGCGTCGTTTGTTTGCCGTATAAGGCGGGGGCGGGGCGGACGTAGGGATCGGATTTGGGGCGGTGTTTTTGAAAGGTCCTTATTTGATTTTGGTAATTAAATGACAACTTAGGTGGACTAATGTGTTTAAATATGAGATATACAGGTGATTAGTCCACAGGTATACTTGTGTGAGCAACTCATGCCATAGAGGTGAAATGGCTCGGATATGTTGCAAAGCTCACACATGTGATGAAGAAGCTCATTGTATATGAGACATGACATTGAGTCATCTGACTAAGGTGGAGAAGATCAAGACAAGACTTGACTTGATAAACCGGTTGCAAGCGTGAAGGGCAAGTTGGAGGCTTTGGAGCGATAGACCACGTGGCGGTGAAGCTTGAGCAAGACTTGGCGCCGATGGACGAAGGCAACAGTGAAAAGCAAGTGAGGTCAAGATCGATGAACCAATAAAGTCATGTGATGATATGAAGTGGATCATATCATTTGTTGATCAAGGTTGGTGCATGTGTTGCATCAACATCAAAGGAGATGGAATGGAATGCGTAAGGCAAAGGTATAACCATAGGGCATTTCATTTCACCGGTCAATGGTTGTGTAGAGAAGTGCTTGACCGGATTTAGGATAGATGGCCATACTATCAAGAGGGGCAAACTTGTTTGTATATCGGTCATCTAGTGCCATTTGAGCGATCTAACTTTGCATACATGTTAGGATCGAGTGGTGTGGTGAAAGAAGTGACTAACCCTTTGGGAAATATTTGTGAAAAGCTAACACACGTGCACAAGGTGGTGGTTCACTTGGAGTGTTAGCATATTTGCAAAGGTGTTGGCAAAGATGAAGAAAAGGAGGCGAAACCGAGTTCAGGGTGCTACCTTGAGGGCACCGCCCCTCTCTGTCTGATGCACCACCACCCCTAAAGCGATGGACGGCTGGCCTCGGCTGAGAAGGAGGAGTTGGGGCTGGCACCACCCCTGCCTATCCGATGGCACCGCCAACCCTAGGGTAGTGCCCACCTGACCCCAGTTTAGAGCAGCTGCAGTGGAGGTGGTCACCGCCAGTGACTGTGTACACCGCCATGGTGAGGGCGGTGCACCGCCGGGTGCTGTCCGGTGCCACCGCCCTTTTTCAACAGAGATCAAGGGAAGAGGGCTTGGTCACCGCCTAGGCACCGTCGTGCCTAGGGCCCTTAAGCCTTAGTGGCTTGTGTAGATGTGCTTGGAAGCCCTCTAACTCACATACGCTTGATAGTGATCATCCGATCGAGTGTGAGTGTGATTTTAGTGCAATTGCATCGTGAGTTTGCATCGAGTGGTACTAGGTGATCGAGTTGCATGTCGGTGGTGCTTGTTACTCTTGGAGGTTGCCACCTCCTAGACGGCTTGGTTGTGGTCTTCGTCGAAGCACACAAGGAAGATTGTGCGGTGCTCCGGAGAAGAGACTGTGAGGGGTATTGTGCTCGTCCCACGGGAGCCGCGAAGAGCAACTCTAAGTGAGCGATCGACACAACAGGGACTAGCGTGTTGGTAAGCATGTGAACCTCGGGATAAAAATCGTCGTGTCATCCTTTGTCTTTCTGTTGGTTTGCATCCACATTACACAAGCTTATACTTTTCATATATTATGCTTGTAGTTTCTCTTGTAATTAGTTAGCTTGTGTAGCTTGCTAGTTGCCTTCTTGTTTGTATAGCATTAAAGTAGCTCTCTTGCGCAACTAATTTAGCTTGAGTAGCCTTGTTAGTTGCATTGCTTAGTTTGTGTAGCTAAGTAATTTGCGCTCTCTAATTTGGCTTGTATTGCCTTGTTATTGAGCATTGCTAGTAAGCTTAGGAGTTTTGTGCTTTTGCTTACAATATTGTGTAGGAGCTCTCCCGGGTAGTTGTATAGATTTGTGTGACCTTGCAAGCTAAAATTGTTTAGGTGAGCTCTAGCTAACCCGGCACGTTTGTTGCCTTATTAGGATCTTTGTAAGGTGTTTGATAACTTAGATAGAGGGGTATAGTCTTGGCTAGACCCATAATTTTAATTCCGTATTTATTTCGGTTAGTCGGCGCGTTTAATTTTAGAAAAGACTATTCACCCTCCTCTAGTCCGCAATCTCGACACTACGGTTTTTTTATAGTGTTTTTTTTTGTATATGTTTTTATTTCGGATCAGATTTTTTTTGGCGTCATTTTTTTTTTTATAGGGCAGGGGCGCGAGGCACACAAATGATACTCTTCGTTATTTTTTAGGTGGTAGTAAGTATTGTAATCAGTTTTTTATATGATTTTGAATGTGAAAGAGTTTGTTTGGGAAACGGTTTTCTTTTTTTTATATTATATGATTTTCGGTGTGTAAGAGTTTGTTTTTGATTTTTTTTCCGTATATGCTTCTTTTTCGAAAACGTTTTTTTAAACGGTTTTTTTTTGCCGTATATGATTTTCGATGTGTAAGAGTTTGTTTTTGAAATGTTTTTTTGCCGTATATGCTTCTTTTTCGAAAACGTTTATTTTGCCATAACGTTTTTTTAGCCATATTTATGTTTTTATTTCAGATCGAATTTGGGGCGGTGGTTTTCTTGCCGTATATGATTTTATCTCAGATCAGATTTTTTTTGCGCCTTTTTTTTTGCCGTAATAAGGCAGCGGCGGGGCGGACGCAGGGAATGGATTTGGACGGTGTGTTTTTTATGGTTTTTTGCTGTATATGTTTTTTTGATCAGATTTTTTTTGGCATTTTTTCTTCGGATCAGATTTTTTTGGCGGCGTTTTTTCGTATAGGGAGGGGGGTGCGGGGCACGCAGACGATACTCCTCGTTATTTTTTAGGTGGTAGTAGATTTTACTTCTCAAACTGTACTCGCACCCACCATAATCCTTATTTGATTTCGGAGTCATAAGTCGTGCTTGTATAAGTTAAAACAACCCGCATCCAACAATGATACGGGAGTCCAATTTGTCATGTTCGCTTCGCTGAAAAGACAAGCTAAAAATATTATTTACTGATTTGTTGTGATAGAAAAATATTGTTTTTTCGCTGAAAAAGTACGGCTGAAAAGACAAAAGCGAACAGGCACTCATGTCCAAGGAGGCAGAATTTGATTACAAGACACATTTAGGGCTTGTTTGGATTCTACCCTCCAGGCAGCTCCATCACCAGGTAGCCATCCCAGGCGTTAGATTTCGATCCCCTGGGGCCACGATCGCTTGCAAGCCCAGGCGAGGGCGTTATCCAAACACGCCCTTAGTTCGGTACCTGAAGTCCCCGTTCGTCTACACTCAATCGGAAGGTGACTTCGGGGCAGTACTAGTACTTAGAAAAACCTCGAGCTTGGAGTGCAGGCCCAGTGATCAGTCAGGAGCGCTGACTGGCCACCCGGTCCCTCTGACTGATAACCAAACGGGCTGAGGACCTGGAAACGTCTACCTCTCCGGCCCAGGTGGCGCAGGGACCGCAAGGCCTCCTTCTTTCAGAGTACGAAAAGGAGGCGATTTCAAAAAAAAAAAAAACAGAGGCAACTATGGCGACACCGACACATGGCCACAGGCAACCCAACAGAGCAAGGGGGTCGGGTCCGGCGTGGGCCAGCAAAAACGACGTCACGTTTTTCTGGACCCGACACGGATCCAACGGCCCGGATAATGACCAGGTCATAGTTGAAAAGTTGATGCTCACGTTGGGCCCCGGAGAGGAGCAGTCGAGCAGATGACACAGCGGAAGAACGACTGGCTGTGAGCCCAGCAGCAGCAGGATTGGATTGCGCCCACGTCACGCCAAACGACCAAACCAACGATACATTTTGGCCAGGAACAATACGAAAGGCCGCAGCCCTTAGCTTCTTCTCCGGCTCCGGTACATTCCCTTGGCTACCCTGCCTGATCTGACCTGATGGAAGCAGCAGTGGCTGCCACCACCTCCTCCCTGCTACTGGTCTCCGGGCCCAGGAGATCATCGCCGACAACCTTGCCTTCCCCCTCGTCGCTTCGGCCTTCCTGCAAGATCTGCTGCTCCTTCACAACCTCCACTGCAAGGCGGCAGCAGCAGGGCCATCTGGCTTCCTGTCTCGCTGCACCGAGGTTAAGCAGCAAGGGGAGTAGCAGGAGCATTAGCTGGAGGTGTTCTTCTAGTGCCACTGGTGGCTCATCAACCGCCGTCTCGACAGAGAAATGGATTCTTGACCCTGCAGGTTAGGTTTGCTGAATGTCTGAAACTCTGAATGCAGTGCAGCCAACACAACTCGCGTCATTTACTCGCTTTATTATTCTCCTCATATCATTTACTACTCACTTTATCATGTTATTATTAACTTGTTATTCTTTAACAGCTCGCATGGTTAGTAGCACCACTTTTTGCTTTCAATAATTCGTATGCCCACCGTGGTGTATGTATGGTGTGCTAAAACCTCGTTGCAAAGAGGAGCTCAGCAGCATTATGTTCTCGTGTTACCGATTTTCAGGTGATGGTGATTGGCGTCACATCGGCTACAAAGTTGCACGGCCTGGTGCGATCGAGATAGTCTCAGTGAGTACTCTCATTCTCTCCACATGTTGATATATCTGCAGTGCGCTTCTATTCAGCATACTAGCTATATATTATATATATCCTCAAACTGATGGCTGATGCAGTGTTGTCAATTAAAGTTATGAGCAAGCAGCCATAGCATATATGTGCCTTTATCGATCTTAGAAAGAAAAAAAAATATAGCACATATATCATATATGTACTGTGACTGCAGCATGATACTAGTCACGCCTTGCTTGAGAGTTAAGACTTTTATTTGGTGTCCAATCAAATGTAGGATGCGGTAACGGTTGGTCGAGTTGCTGACAAGGCTGACATCGTCCTCCCCGTTGCCACAGGTAGGTCAGTTCTTGCAAGAGTTCAGTCACTAGCTCTGTTTGTACGTTGTCAATTCTCCTTGGAATCGATGATAAGCAACCGTGGTCCGTGGATGTAACAACGCAATGCAAACATATGGAATGCCTTGCCAAGTTCGTCCAGGAGCTAGGGCCAAACAAGCAGCAATCTGATCATATATACATGTTGCACTGCCTGCAGTTTCAGGCACGCATGCTCGGCTGGAGAAGAAGGGCGGGAGCCTGCTGGTGACGGACCTGGACAGCACCAACGGCACCTACATCAACGAGCGCCGACTCAACCCTGGCTTCCCAGTGCCCATCGACCCTGGCAGCCTACTCATCTTCGGTTTGGATCCAACGATTCCCGTCCAATTCATCAATTATGCATGTGTGCCAGAGAAGTAGCTCTGGGTTGTGAACTCTGAAATTTGCATTCTGCATCGATATCTTGCAGGTGACATCCACTTGGCGATGTTCCGTGTAAGGAAGATGAGAGTTGAGGTGCCCAGTACCGAGGCCGAGGGAGCTGAACAAGAGACCAAGACCGAGGTAGTATCGGCTGCAGCAGTTGAAGATACTGCAAGCTAGCTAGCTAGCAAGCTGTCTGTCTCTATCTGAACTTCTCGACTCAGCCCTTGTTTAGTTCCACCCCAATTTCCAAAAAGTTGCTACTGTACCTGTCACATCGAATATTTTCGGCCCGTGCATGGAGCATTAAATGTAGACGAAAAGAAAAACTAATTACACAGTTTGGTAGGAAATTGCGAGACGAACGTTTTGAGCCTAATTAGTCCATGTTTGAACACTATTTGCCAAATAAAAACGAAAATGCTACAGTAGTTCCAAAATCCAAATTTCGCGAACTAAACAAGGGCTCAAGAGTTTCCACAGTGCCCTCTGGCAGTAGAAACAGACCCAGAATGTTCAGAATAAGTGCACAAATTAAACGCTGTGGTGCTGTCGGGTCAGGACTCAGGAGCGAGCTCCAAGAAGAGTGCCAGTCATCTGTAGTCAGGGGACAAGGCACAAATCTGGTTGGATGTAATAAAAACATACAATGGCATCAGCTACGGTTCCACCTGAAATGAAGCAAAAGAAATATATATAGAGTAACGCGTCAATGAGCAATTGTCATTATCGAGTGAAAATGTCAGAACGAATGAAATGAAACTAATGCTTTTCCCCCCATGTCTGATCCAATGGAAGGTAGAATGGTGGGATCAGCAATGAGAAACTTTTGTTTGTTCTGAGTAGTATAAAATCAAACAAATGAATTGGATTTGATGACATGGGGTTTGTACTTGTAGAATTAAATTGTCCTCTCCGTGAAACGTTACAGGGCGATTCAGCAGGTTTCTTCAGGTAGGCTATCGATCCCTGGGCTATTCTGGATGTACCTCTGATTCGCCTACCAGACCAGCAACAGCCACCTTGGGAATTCCAATAAATACTGTAATTCAGATGTCGCGATAGTGAAAAGCAAGACCAAGATGTGACTTAACAACGCAATGACTGCAACTCAAAACACTTAACTACCTATGGACATTGCCACAAAGCACCTTTAAGATGCTCCTTTCTTCTCGCTCTTTGTAGACGGTGCAAAAACAGCAGACTGGTGCAAGAGATAAGATCAGACAAGACATGAAACTATGAAAGATAGAGTAGACTTGACCAACACAGAGTCAAAAGACAGCAGAGCAAATTACCAGGAATGATGGTGCCATGGTGGCAGACCATATCTAAAAATGCTCTCTGCACAGATACGCACAGCACAGAAGTGCATCCAGGAACTGAATAACTACACAAACAATAAATACAATCCTTTAGGGAACAAGTTCTTATAAAAAAAACTTTTAGGAAAAAGGGAACATCCTCCTTAACCCAGTCCTGGGTGTTATATTTACAGGATCGTCCAGCTCTACAGCTAGGACACAAGAACATAGACAAAACTAGTGCTGCTGATACCTTTGTTGGAGTTAGCCACTGCAACAGGCAAGAACTTAGCAGGGCCGTGCCCATGGGTGTACAACCCGTACGTCCGTACAGGGCCCCAAAAATTACAGGGCCTCAAAAAATAAGCCCAGTAGTAGAAGGCCCTATGTGCAAGCGAATAGGTCTCAGGAATTGATTGATACATTAGCAGCAGTACAGGGTACAATATATAGGCAAGGATCAATAGGGTTTATAGAAACACCCAATCAACGGTGATCCTTGCCTTATCAATGTAATCTATCTATCTTAACCCCTAAGGCAGCCAGCCAAACAGGCTAGGCGCCAGGCCCAAGGCCAGCCCATTAGGGCGCCTATTCTAACACGCCCCCGTAGTCGAATCGTCAGCCACTCTGCATGTTTAGACTGGACCTAAACTCCGTGAAAACTGAAGTAGGCAGCCCTTTGGTGAAGATATCTGCATATTGCGAAGAGGTGGGAACATGCAGAACACGAAGATCACCAACGGCGACTCGCTCCCGGACGAAGTGAAGATCGATCTCAATGTGCTTGGTGCGCTGATGCTGAACCGGGTTGGAGGTCATGTAGACGGCACTGATGTTATCACAATACACCAATGTGGCGCATCGTAGAGGGGCATGCAGCTCCAGAAGTAGCTGGCGGAGCCAAGTAGCCTCTGCAGCTCCGTTGGCCACCACGCGATACTCGGCTTCAGCACTGGATCTTGACACTGTGTTCTGGCGCTTCGAGGACCAGGAAACAAGGTTGTCACCAAGGAACACCGCATAGCCTGAGGTGGACTTGCGAGTGTCCGGACAACCAGCTGCAAGGTCCTCGTTTGGTTTTGGTAATTGAGTGACAACCTAGGTGGACTAATTGTGTTTATGTGAGATACACAGGTGATTAGTCCACAGGTACATGTGTGTGAGCAATATATGCCATGAAGGTGACAATGGCTTGGAGATGTTGCAAAGCTCACACATGTGATGATGAAGGAGCTTATTACAAATGAGACATGACATTGAGTCATGTGATCAAGGTGGAGAAGATCAAGACAAGACTTGGCTTGATAGACCGGTTGCAAGCGTGAAGGGCAAGTCGGAGGCTTTGGAGTGATGGACCGCGTGGCGGTGAAGCTTAAGCAAGACTTGGCGCCGATGGACAATGGCAACGGTGAAGAGCAAGTGATGTCAAGATCGATGAACCAATATGATCACGTGATGATATGAAGTGGATCATATCATTGTTGATCGTGTTGGTGCATGTGTTGCATCGACGTTGGAGGAGATGGAATGGAATGCGCAAGGCAAAGGTATAACCTAGGGCATTTCATTTCACCGGTCATAGGTGTGTAGAAAAGTTTATGACCGGATTTAAGATAGATGGACGTACTATCAAGAGGGGCAAACTTGTTTGCATATCGGTCATCTAGTGCCACTCGAGTGATCTAACTTTGCATCGTTGCTAGGATCGAGTGGCGTGGCAAGTTGAGTGGCTAATCCTTTGGAAAATGATTGTGAAAATGCTAACACACATACACATGGTTGTGTACACTTGGTGGTGTTGGCACATTTACAAAGGAGGTGGTGTTTGCAAGCTCGGCGGGATTCGGCGCTTTCAGAAAAATGGAATGCCTATTTTCTATTACGCCGGATGCAAATTCTTGTGGTTGGCACATTGGAGCAAGGGTGAAAAAGTTAGAAGTGAAAACGAGTTTATCGCGAAGACGCTGGCGTCGGTCTACTGACCGGACGTTGGGTCTGAAAGCACCGGACTCTGGCTGTGAGCGTCCGGTCAGAGCTGACGTATGGTGATGCAGGCAGAGCAGAAGCTGAAGAGTGACCGGACGCTGGTGCCGCGTCCGATCGCGATTGACCGGATGCGTCCGGTCGTGAAATGTCGTTTCTGGAATCTTACTGGAAACGACCGGACGCTAGGGTTGCTGCGTCCGGTCAGTTCATGCTGGAGCGTCCGGTCGACAGATGACCGTGGAGATCCAGTGAACAGCATTTGAAGGAGGGGACACATGGCGTGCATCGCACGACCGGACGCTGAGGTCCAGCGTCCGGTCGATCGGACCGGAGCGTCCGGTCGTCCCGACAGTTGCCCAGTGAAGGGGTAACGGCTAGTTTAGCCCTTGGGGCTATAAATAGAAGTGGCCCTCGGCCATGGCTGGGGCTGAGCACCTAAGGGGGCTTAGTGTCCATGCTTGTGAGTGCTTGGGAGCCCTCCATCACACATATACTTGATAGTGATCATTCGATTGTGTGAGTGAGCGATTCTAGTGTGATTGCATCGTGAGGTTGCATCGAGTGGCACTAGGTGATCGAGTTGCAAGCCGGTGGTGCTTGTTACTCTTGGAGGTTGCCACCTCCTAGACGGCTTAGTGGTGGTCTCCGTCGAAGCCCGCAAGACGAATGTGCGGCGCTCCGGAGAAGTGCTTGTGAGGGGCATTGTGCTCGCCCCGCGGGAGCCGCGAAGAGCAACTCTAGTAAAGTGTGTCATTGAGCCACCCTCACTCAAGGGGTAGGTTCTTGCGGCGCCCGACGTGCGGGCTTAGCGGGTGATGCTAATTAGCCGCCGAACCACCAAGTGAGCGGTCGACACAACGGGGACTAGCGTGTTGGCAAACACGTGAACCTCGGGAGAAAAATCATCGTATCAACCTTGTTCTTCCCGTTTGTTTGCATCCCCATTACACAAGCTTGCAATTACTTTTATACATATTAAGCTTGTGTAGTTGCTCTTGTAATTAGATAGCTTGTGTAGCTTGCTAATTACCTTCTTGCTTGTGTAGCATAGAAGTAGCTCCCTTGCGTGGCTAATTTGGTTTTAGTAACCTTGTTAGTCACATTGCTTAGTTTGTTGTTGATGTTTCACCACCGATAGCCTGCCACGGGGGTACCCGGGGCAGTATTGTTCGGGCTTCGGCGTATGCTGAACTCGATGGTAAACGCAAGAGACAGTCGATTTATCCTGGTTCAGGCCCTCGATCGTAGATCGAGTAACGACCCTACGTCTAGTCGGCGTTGGCCTTTTGCGTTGGATTGATTATGAAGTGTTATGTTGTACAATTGTCCTCCTCTTTCAGGAGCCCTGCCCTCCTTTATATAGTCAAGAGGCCAGAGTCCTAATCGGTTTACAATGAGATTTCCTAGTAGGATTACTTAATAGTTCTATTACTAAGATTACATGGGAAGAATCCTAGTTGAACTAGATCTTCTCTCTCTCTTGCGGCCACACTCAGTGAGTGTAGCCCCCGAGAGTTGAATTATGTCATCATCCGAGTAGTTTTTGTGGCATCTTTCCGAAGCGGCCCTTTAGTCTTGGATTAAACCATCATCCGAGTAGTTTCGCGGCATGCAGCCTCCGAGCCTATGTCCGGGTTCTTTTTGGGTGGGTGCAATTTTTCATAAAAATTGCACTCACTGAGTGTAGCCCCCGAGCCTCTTGCTTTTGCTTGCAAAAGTTGGAGGGTCCAGATTCTTGTCTTCAAACAATTCTGGGGCTATGTATCCCGCAGCCTCGTGCATTCTCCGAGTTCTTCTCTTTAGAAAAGAAGTCGGATGAAGAGTCTTGATGTGTCGTCGTCGTTGTAGTCTTGAGTTTCTTGTACTCTTTGTCTTTTGTCTTTGGTT